AGAGCTGGGGTGGCTGAGAGGCCTCGATACCTGGTCTATCGCGTGGGGCAGGCGGCCTTCTGGGTTCTTCTGGGGCCCACACTGGAGGGATGGAAGGAGAGGGGAGGACAGGGTGGGGGCAGGAGGAGCCCCAGAGGTCTCTCCAGAGACAGAGGGAGGAGGGCGCATGTGGAGAGCGGCTGCAGCGTTTGGACAGGTTCAAGCCTCGGACTGATGAGAGGGCACGGTCCTCTCATGGCCAAGCCACGTGCAGGTCCCAGTGGAGGGCAGAGCCTTCCCAGCACAGTGACAGCCAACAGCTGCAGCTGTGAGCTTGAACCTGTGGTCCGAACACGCGGCCCCACGTGCCTGAGTGATGTGGGCTTGACAGAGTTCAGGTGCATGTGGTTGAGTAGGATGGAAACCCACGAGAACGTTGTAACCATCTTGGCCACGCCCTTGCTGTGCCTCGTGGCATCTGCTGTAAAATGAAGACTCGGCTCATAGTCCGTGGCGCTGTCCCTCCATCAGAGAGGGCGGCGTCCCACCGAGCCCCAGCTTTCTTCTCTCGTCTGCCTTTCCTCCGTCCTTCACCGCCCCCTCAGGGTCGCCCTTGGCCGTGCTGGCGCATACGGAGGGGCACGTGGATGCCAGCAGGGGAGTTTGGGGCGGCCGGAAGGGCCGGTCCCTGGGCCGCCCTTTGTGGGAATGGGAGCAGGCGCCCCCCCCGGCGGCTGTTTGGCACGAGGACCCCCACCCGCTCAGCACCCGCCTCTCCAGGTCACGTGTGCGACGCCAGCTCTACAGCTGTGGCTGGGCCCTGCTGGCACCTGCGCCTTATTTTATAAACGAGGAGCCGGGCCCAGGGGGCATGAGCTGCTCCAGGTCACACAGCAGGAAGGCAGCACGGCCCAGCCTAGGCTGAGGGTGTCCCCTGCACCTCGCAGGCCGGCCCCGCGTGCAGAGGGCAGACTCAGTGGTCCAGCCGCTGCTCCCCTCTCCCAGCCCTGTGGGGGTGTCTGGGGAGCAGCTCTGCTGACCCGGGGTCCCCGCAGGTCTTCCTGGCATCCCCGGGGTCTTCTGCAGCAGCCCTGGGAGCTGTCGTGGCCTGGCTGGGGCTCCCTTTGGCATGTGGGGGACGGAAGAGGGGACACAGTCTCTCAGCTACAGGCCCAGCCAGACTCAGGCCCCGCGACAGCCCCACGCACCGTGGCTGGTCCGTGGCCCCCAATGTTGGGGGTGAGTCACCAAACTGAAGAATTGCCACCGGGGCTGACACCAACCCAGGCCTGGCCACCGTGAGGGGGGAGAGGGGAGGTCAGCCAATAGTCACTCACCCCCAAACACACAGAGACCCCTGGAGATGCACATGCACACACACACAGATACAGACACACACACACACATCAACACGCATAGACACAGACACAGACACAGACACACAAAATCAGCGGGAGAGACACCCGCCCCATCCACTTCTCATTCCCCCATCGGTGTCTCCTTACAGCTCGTGTTCCTTGCTCACCCTCCTCTGGCTCAGGAGGAGATAGGGTGTCGGGGACACTGGAGCCTGATACACCCTCTCTCTGCCCCCCACCCCATGGTCCTGCACCCAGTTTCCAGGCCATGGGAGCTGGGGCTGCTTCGGGTTTCCTGGGCTGGAGGTGTGGACCCCACCAAGGGCGGGGGCTGAGCAGCCCCTGTGATCCCTGAGCCCTGCCTCCTCCCCTGCAGCCTCTCTCCAGACAGCTCATCCTGGGCCCCTGCTTGGGTCCTGGGCCCCTGTTTGGTTCCTGGCCCCCCCTGCTTGGGTCCTGGGCCCCCCCCTGCTTGGGTCCTGGGCCCCCCCTGCTTGAGTCCTCGGCCCCAGCCCAGAAGCCATGTGAGGATAAGGTGCCCAGGGCGTGGGGTGGCAGGAAGGGGATCTAGGAGGGGCCAATGCCAAGCCTGGGTGGTTCTGGCGCCTCCGCTGGGTGCAGGGCCTGGCTGTCCCATCTCCCAGAGGAGCGTGGGCATGAAGAGGTGCAGTGACTCCCCCAGGGCCCCCCCTGCGTGGGTCCTCGGCCCCAGCCCAGAAGCCATGTGAGGATAAGGTGCCCAGGGCGTGGGGTGGCAGGAAGGGGATCTAGGAGGGGCCAATGCCAAGCCTGGGTGGTTCTGGCGCCTCCGCTGGGTGCAGGGCCTGGCTGTCCCATCTCCCAGAGGAGCGTGGGCATGAAGAGGTGCAGTGACTCCCCCAGTCACAGCCGGTGAAGGCCACGGGTGGGGCCTGCTGGAGGGCTGGAGGGACCTCCCCCCACACGGTGCCCAGCAGCTGACCAACCCCAGCCAAGCTTCCCCATAGTGGCCTGAGGGCCTCACCTCTCACCCCTGAGCCCCGCGGGCCCGGAGCCGGGCCTGGGTCAGTGCTGAGCCCTCCTCCTGTCGCCAGCAGGCGGGTGAGCGCCTCCCCCTGTGGTGCTCAGGTCACTGGGACAGTTAAAGGGACAGCCTTCACCACATCCCGCCCACCCTGTGCTGCCGGGTGAGTGTGGGCGACAGTGCGGCTTTCCTTGGGGGCACCTGTCCCCCTGCCCCGCGGAGACATGAGTCTCTGGTCCGTTTCCTCCCCCAGGGCCCAGGCTGCGGGCTGGAGCTGTCCGGGCCTGGGCTCTGGAGTCAGACGTCCTGGGTTCGAATCCCAGCTCTTCACCCTGCAGCTGCTTCCCGCCGGCAGCTGTGGAGGCCGCCTGGGCGTCTGATCACCAGCTGTGGAGGCCGCTGGGCCTCTGAACTGACCAAACAGCAGTGCCCACCTGCTGGGCCACATGAGCCGACGTATAAGGTGCTGAGCTCACTAACAGGAGCTGCCTTGACGCTGGAGCGGAGGAAGCAGCTGGGTGGGGTGGGGACTTGAGAAAGGCTACCCTGCCCGTGCATTGCAGGGTCTGGCCTTTGCTGCCTCCTGCTTGGCCCTGGACAGGACCCTCAGCACCTTCTTGGGGAGCAGGCCCCCTCCTGTCTGGGAGAGCATGGGGGTGACCCCAGAGGCCTAGGCTGCCCCCCTGAGGGCACCTCTGCTGGGCCTCCTGGATGCTGCCTGCCCCTCCCTTCACCTGCAAACCAGGCGAGTCACTCCTTCCAGCTGGTGCCAATTGTGCCAATTGTAGCTGCTGCCAGGGCTGCCTGCCCCCGCCGCCCCTCCCCCCCGCCTCAAGATATTCTGGAAATCAGTCTGCGGCACAAAGACGATGATTAGCCTTTATTAAGCCCCCACAGCCTGCGGGGCTGGGAGTTTTCCGTGGGCCTAGTCTTTTCAGTGAGAACACAGAGGGCCTCCTTCTGGGGGAAGTTTGGGGACACAGGTGGGTGCTGCGCTGACGGCATGCTGTGGGGGTGTGGAGCCCGAGGGCTGACGGGACGGCAGGATCGGGACAGACTCTGGGTGCCACGTGATTGGACCCCACTTCTGACGCACACGGACACGCGTGAGGCTGCCCTCCTCCTGGCACCGTGGCAGCGGAAGCTGACAGGCACCATCTGGCCGGGGTCACAGGGTGACATGCAGAGCCACCGGCTCATGGGCTTGACAGCTGGCCAGCTGGGAAAAGGCATCTGTCCGTGGGAACTGGAGGCCGGGGTGGCGGGGGCCCCGGCAGGAAGGCGGCCGGAGGGTGGGTAGGCTGCACGCACAGATGGAGGGCCCGAAACTCGAAATCCGATCCCCGCTTTCCTCTCTGGCCATCTGGAGGGCCACCCCTTCCCACGGAGATGGTCCCCCGAACAGCCAAATACGAAAGGACGGCCAGGAACCCCGCCCCTGCCCCCCACGTCCTCTGTTAGGCTTGGAGGAGGGTCTGCTGGGGTCTCCCAGGGCTGCTGCCGCCGAGTCTTCTTGCTTTTCCAGATGCTGCTACAGACGGGGCGCCGCCAGGAAGGTCTTGGAGCCGTAAGACTTCACGCTGGAAGGAACTTGGTGAGAACCAGGTCCAGCTGAGCAGAGACGGAGCGGACGCCCCAAGCCCCCCGCTTCGTGCGCACTCAGGCCGCTGCTCCCAGCGCAGGCCTTTCCATCACATCACGCAGCCCGGGGCGGGGTGGGGTCGGGTGCGGGGTGATAAGTGAGGCCTGGAAGCTTCCTGGAGAGCCAGCATCATGCAGCCCGTGATGGAGCAGGGCCTGCGCTTTCTTCTGCTGAAGAAAAGGGGTGAGTGTGTGTGTGTGTGTGAGTGTGTGTGTGTGTGCGTGTGAGTGTGTGTGTGAGTGTGTGTGTGCGTGAGTGTGTGTGTGAGTGTGTGCGTGAGTGTGTGTGTGCGTGCGTGTGAGTGTGTGTGTATGTGCGTGTGTGTGCGCGAGTGCGTGTGTGCATGAGTGCGTGTGCGTGAGTGTGTGTGTGTGCGCGTGAGCTTGTGTGAGTGTGTGTGTGAGCGTGTGCGCGAGTGTGTGTGTGTGAGTGTGTGAGTGTGTGAGTGTGTGTGTGTATGTGCGTGAGTGTGTGTGTGCATGAGTGCGTGTGCGTGAGTGTGTGTGTGTGCGTGCGTGAGCGTGTGTGTGTGTGTGTGTGTGCGTGAGTGTGTGTGTGTGTGCGTGAGTGCAGGTCTCCTCGCCCTGGGGTCCCCCAGATCTACCTGGGACGTTCTCATGCCCCCTCAGGCTCAGCCCAAGCAGGCAGGGCCAGGCCTCCTTTGCAGCGGCATCCACCTTCAGGGAGGCCGCTCGGCCCCTTCCCTCCCACCTGCCGAGGAGCCTTCATCGCCTTTCAGGTGGGATTGTGGCTTCTGTGACGCCTGCTCCCCCACCCCCCCCGCCCCCACCAGGTCGTGCGGTGTCAGCTCCCTGCTCACCAAGTTCAAAGCCAGGCTTTTGGACCTACACAAAGGGCGCCTCTCTCAAAACTCAGCTCTTGCAAAGCTATAGTCTCAGCGTGGGCTTCAAAGCCGCGTGTGCAACTCAAAGCCACGGATCTGACTTTGTTCCGAGTTTCCCTCGGAGGGCGGGACACAGGAGGAGGGAGGCCGTGGGGACCAGGACACTGTGTGGGGTGGAGCGGCCGTTCACATCTCACAGTGGTGACACCCAGGCCCCGAGAAAGAGAATCATTGGTCGGCTGCCTCCTGCACACCCCCCACTGGGGATGGAGCCCACAACCCGGGCCTGTGCCCTGACCCAGAATCGTGACCTCCTGGTTCATAGGTGGACGCTCAACCACTGAGCCACGCCGGCCGGGCCAAAGCATAAACACTTGAAATGCAGACAGAATTAGTACCACTGACCGCTCCCTTGGCCGCGGACTCCAGCATGGCCCCGCACAGCGCCGATGCTGACCCACCTTTATTACATGAAACTTCTTTATCTCGATTACTGCGATGTTGTGTTGTTTTTTTGCCGCCCCTTAAATTCTGTGCCCGGGGCAAGGGCCCTGCCCACCTCACCCTAGTCCCACTTCGGATTCACTCTTTAGATGTGAGAACGGAGGTCCGGGGCGGGGGCGTGAGCAGCTCAGGTGGACCAGGCGCCCCGGAGAACCTGCGGGACAGAGGCTGTGCTGGCTCCTTCAGCACATGCTGGCTAAGGGGGTGCCGGGCGGCAGGCACCGGGCCGGGTACATGGAGCAGCACTGAACACCGTCCCTCCCCTCACGGAGCTTGTATCTCAGTACAGAGGAAACAGACCTCAAATAATATGAACTTAGTTAGTTAATTACGAAATTCGTGCAAGGGGCTTGGCCCCCGCGCTGTGGCGGCTGCCTCTGCCTCGGCACCTCCCCCCCTGCAGCTTCATCCAGAAGGTGATCCGGAAGGATGTCCAGTCTAATTAGCATATCACGCTTTTATTAATATAGGTAATTGGAATAAGCACTTTGAAGGAGAAATGTGGGAATTCAAGAATGTATAACATGGGAGCTTGGTGCGCTGGAAGAGATCCGGAAGGATTCTCTGAGAGAAGGAGGTTTCAACTGAAACGGTAAGCGATAAGCCATGTGAGCCAAGCACAGCAGGAAGGAGAGGGACCAGCATGTGCAAAGGTCCTGGGGTGGAACGAAGCTGGTGCATTTGAGAAATTGAGAGGAAATGTCTTGGTCAGTCTGGGATGATTCTGTAACAAACAATCCTTAAGTCTAAATGGCTGAATATGTTCAACAAATCAACAAACAAGTGCTTGTGAGGATGTGGGGAAAAAGGAACCCTCGTGCACTGCTGGTGGGAGTGCAGATTAGTGCAGCCACCGTGGAGAACAATATGGAGTTTCCTCAAAAAATTAAAAATGTAACTTCCATTTGACCCAGTAACTCCACTTCTAGGAATATATCCCAAGAAATCAGAAGCACCCTGACCGGTTTGGCTCAGTGGATAGAGCATCAGCCTGCAGACTCAAGGGTCCCAGGTTCGATTCTGGTCAAGGGCATGTACCTTGGCTGCGGGCACATCCCCAGTAGGGGGTGTGCAGGAGGCAGCTGATCGATGTTTCTCTCTCATTGATGTTTCTCATTCTCTATCCCTCTCCCTTCCTCTCTGTAAAAAATCAATAAAATATATTTTTAAAAAAGTAAAATTCACCCCCCCCAAAAAAAACACAATAAAGAATTTAAATTCTAAAAAAATGGCTGAATATGTTAGCATTTATTTCTCATTTGCTTCACAGTCTAATGTGGGTCAGATGGTTCATCTCCATGTGGTGACTCAGGGATCCAGCACCTGCTCACCTTTGACCCTTCAGAGAGTAGAGGTGGGAGATTGTGCATGCACGCGGCATGAACTACTTCTGCCCACATCTGTCGCCCTGTGCTCAGCCCCGGGTCCAACCGCGTCAGCCTGTAGTGCCCAGGAAGACAGAGTTAGTGACACTCGGCTGCCCCTGCCACGGGGAGGGGACCAGGCCAGGCAAGTCCTTGGCAGTCATGGCAGGACCTGGGTCTGTGGTCTTGGAGCAGAAGATCCAGCTTGAACTTGGCCACAGGCCCAGGAAGGTGTAAGGGCCGCGGCCAGCTGTGCCCACTGTGGTTTCTTCCAAGAGGGAGGAGCCATCTGTCAGAACTCATTTTGGAACATGGAGGCCTCTCAGAACTCTTTAGGATGGTCAAGTTTCTGTCCTGCATGGAGGCGTGTCCCACATGGAGGCGTGTCCCCCGCATGGAGGCGTGTCCCACATGGAGGCGTGTCCCCCGCTTGGAGGCGTGTCCCGCATGGAGGCGTGTCCCGCATGGAGGCGTGTGCCCCGCTTGGAGGCGTGTCCGGACCCAAGTCAGCGTCACTCCTGGCCTCTGTGTCCTGCAGGGCTGGGGAGGACTCTCAGCTTTCAGCCAGGCCGCTCTCAGGAGCTCTGGTTTCCGGGAATGTGATCCCCAGGGTGTTGGTAGCCTCCAGTTTCTCAGGGGCCTGGGGCGCAGGGTGGCAGTGGCTGAGCCAGCCTCGTGAGCTTGGCTGTGTACGAAGGGCTCTGGGCCAATGGTGGCCCAGGCAGTGCCTGCAACTTGCTAATGGGCAGACCCTGAGCCCAGATCACAGCCCTAGGCAGACCCTGGCCTTGGGCCCTCTGCTCTGCCTTCCTGCGTCTGCTCTGGGGTTCTGCGGCTGGCTCTGCGGGTGCTAGGACGCTCCCAGTTGGGCAGACACGCTGCGTCCTGGGCTTGGGGTCAGAATGTCTAAGCAGGGCAGTTCTGGAAATCTTTCAGGCGCACACACACATGCACATACACACACATGCACGCACACACATGCACATACACGCACCCCTTCCTTGCAGCAGCAGCCACAGGGATCCTGTTAAGATGTATGTCAGATCAGGCCCCTCCTCTGCTCAAAGTCCCCAGTGATCTCTCACCAGAGGTCAAAGCCAAAGCCTTCACAGAGGCCACAGACCTCGGCAGTCCCTCACCCCCAAGACTTCCTCTCTCTGCCATCTCCCTGCTGCCTGGGCTCCTTGTGGCTCCGGGGCTCCTGGCACACGCTTGCCCAGGGTCTCGGCACCGCCGCCCCCTGTCCTGGAACTCGTGTCCCAGACATCCGTCTGCCTGGCCTCTCCCTCTCCTCCCTCCGGCTTTGCTCAAATGCCAGCCTGTCCTGAGGGCTGTTTCTGTACGGCCCTCAGTCCTCTCTGTTTCCTGCGTTCCTTCCCCCACAGCCTGATCGATGCCTGACACTGCGGGACATGCCCCTTGTTGATCATCTCCACTCGCGGGAATGGGAGTCCCGCAGAGGCAGGGTTTCGGGCCTATTAATGTGTCCACGTTCACAGTCACCGCCCTTGTGTGGCCACACGAGCGGCCATGCTGTTTGGTGAATGAATACCTGCAGGCCGGCGAGACCTAGCGCCTAGGGTGCAGGGAGGAGGGGGCATGGCATGAAGGGCATTGCCATGTTCCTTTTTTTTTGCCAAATGAAGGACTGGGACGAGGTCCCCAGGAGACCATGAAGCCGTGGGAACTGTGACATCATGGGGGGGGGGGAGGTTCCTGCCACCTGTGTTTTCCGGGGATGAGGCCCCCAGCTTCCTGCAGACACTCAGCAGAGCCTGTGGTCTCTTGGGAGCTGAGCCCTCTCCCCCCTGACCTTTCAAGGCCGGCTCTAACAGGCTCACATCCCTGCCTGCTAAGGCCCCGGGTGCTAACATTCCATAACCTCACTCAGGTCTCAGCAGCCACGGGGGTCCTGGCCCCACAGAGGGGAGTAGGAGCCAGAGGAAGTCTTGCCAGGGTCCGCGGGTGAGGGTGGGGGCGTGGGGGACACGGGGGAGGGGGAAGGCAAAGGGGGCTTCTGTATTACACGTGCCGTGTCCTTCCTGCTCATAGGAAAGGAAGTGGGTTTAAAGCGAGTGTGACAAAATGTGTGCGGTCGTCAATGCCCAACACAGGCGCAGGGGTGTGTGTCACCGAGAGCTCCGTTCTTGTCTGCGCGTCAAATTTCTTGAACAAAATACAGGCTTGGAGGTGGGCAGGGCGTTACGGCTTCTGATCCGGACGGCGAGGCGGTTTCTGGGGACCCGAGGGACCTGGACTCTGGGCAGGTGCCACGGGGGAATGGGCAGAGGCTGGCAGAGTCTGGGCCCACTCCTAGAACTGTGGGGGCCCCTCCCTTCCCCTCCCCTCCCCCCTCCCCCGGC